GCACTTCCATTTTTGCAACATCAGATATTGTGCCAAGACACCTCAGGTGGCATGACATTTCTGTGAATAATCAATATGTGTAGGCTTGTTTAATTTTTTCTTTTTCCAGTGTTTATGTCCAGACAAACAAAAGAAGTGCAAAATTTAAAAGGTGTATATATGTCTCCTGCCTCTGCATATTTTGCATTCCAGGACTGACTCATATTCAAGTAATAATGGATTAAAATGGAGTTCTCACTGAATTTTCTGTATCACTAAAAAATATGGTGTAAGAGCTCCAAATCCCATTGCTTCTCAGACTTTGTGATGTAAACATCAAAAATAGTGTTATTTTCCAATTTCTTTTCATAATTTTAACAACCCGTAATAGCAATAGGTCATCTTTCTTCACCATCTTTAAACCTACTAATCATAAGAACAATATGACCCAACATAGTTGGGCTTGACAAATGCCAAAATAAAATACATTTTGTGATACAGCTCACTACTTTGTAAGTCTCTCAATTTGAGTACAAATTAGTGGGTTTCTATCTTACATTATCCCTGGGAAATAATGTGTAGCACAGTGGATCATGTCTGATGCAGTGCATGTCACTGGGTAAAAGCAGCTTCCACCTATGGCAAGTTTGCTCTTTCCTCCCTCAGATGCTGTGTGGTTTTTCTTCCCATTTAGTTACCTCACTTCTCCCCCTCCTGCAAAACATTTCTCTGGGCTCTGGACTGCTTCTCAGTCTTCACCTGGACCTGCTGCACCACCTGTCTATCAGCATCTCCTGATTGCAGAGAAGGTCTTCCCAATTAATTCGTGAAGTCAAGGCATCCCCTGCCTGGTTTCTGCCTTTAACATGGTGTTGATGTGGTATGAACCCAAGCCAATAACTGCTCATAAAACAGAGGGAGAAACAAAACCTAGTCAAATATGTAGGTATAGGTATTTAATAAGACATTTAAACTTCTCACAGCTCTTTATTAGTAACAATACATCTTCGCCAATCCCAGGTCCTCCCCACCAAGACTTTGTTCCCTGCATGGACTTGTGCTGCCTCCACTGCCCTCTTCTGCCTTGCCCTGACATAATTTGATGGGAAAACCAAGGAGAACACAGCTCCTGGCATTCCCCTGCTCAGCATGGCATGTGGGCTGTGAAGCACAGCAGGTGAAGGACAGGAGGCACCACACAAGCTGTCCATCCCTGTCCACCCAGAGATGGGGAGCCCAGAGCTGAGCACCATGGCACAGCTGAAAGGGAGGAGGGAGTTTTCACCACTTTCATTACTTTCCAGGTAAAAGTCCTGCTGAAAACTAGCTCTGCAAGCTCCACACTCCCTGTTGCTTTGTGTCAGTGGTAGGAGAGGCCATGGATCAGTTGCACCGCAGCACAGAGTGAGCTACAGAGCTCATACCTGACAAAATTAAGCATATGGTGGTCTCAGAGGATGATGATGATGGGGATTCCACAGTCTCTGCACCAAAGAAGGGGTGGTGGCATCTCCCAAGCTTGAGATAAGCAGAAAGGAAATGGGCCCCCTGGGAGATTCAGCCCCAGCTGCTGGCTGCCAGGCTTTCTGTGGTGGCAGGCACCTCCACTCAAGGGAGTTGCAGCTACAGCCCCCTGCCAAAATATTGCTAATGACACAAGTAAATAAAGGGATAAAGATTATGCAATAGCCGCATCTCAACAATACTTCCTGAGACAGAATCTGATCTGCTATCCTTCATGCAGACCTAAGAACACCAGAAGGGAGGGAGAGAGCAGACTGCCCCAGATTTTAATGAAATCTGATAATAATAACAACATTAGTATTAGCCCAGTCTACCAAACCCATCAGCACTGCTCCTCAAGGATGTCAGCCCTTGGACCCAGGAAAGACTGAGTGAATCTGGTTGTATTACTTCAGCAACTTTCACTTTACTCTCAAGGAAAATACATTGGGCTTGCTTTCTCCTGAACAGAAATTGTATCTTGATTTAACTCCTCAAGGAAGAAATGTTCTCAAATCCTAATTAGATTATTCTACTAAGAGTGTGAAATAGGTCACTGTCTACTACAGGTATATTGCCTCCCATTTATAGGTGGGAAATGTGTGCTGCATAAGTAATTACAAATTAAAATGCTACAATGGGCAATGACTTTTCTCACATTTGTTTTGGTTGCTTCCAAAAGCTCTTATTTCAAAGTTGAAGAATACTATGGGTTTTCTGGCGCACACTGCAAGTGTGGACATGATGCTCCTCTGGCACAAATCCTGCGAAGCTGGGCATTTGGAAATGCCTGCTGGGACCTTCAGATGTCATGGTTGGACTGTTTCTTCTGAAAATCAGACACTGTTATCCCTAATCTTGCTACCCTTTTTGCTGTGTTGGAGTCACTATAAGAGCCATAGGAAATCTCGTGCTTTAAAATGCAAATAATAATAATAACTGCTTTTTGCCTTGTGTCTATAGCAATAGTGATCAAAAACTGGATCTGCTGATTTTTTTCCCTAGCTATCCTAAGCTTCAGTTGCCTCATTGCCTCCCAGCCCCAGCAAGACTTAGCCTTTGAGGCAGAGGCATCTCAAGATCTCTTGAAGCAGTGGGTAGATCGGAGGGAGTACAATGACTTTGAAGCGCTTGTATCACCTCAGCAGCCAATGGCAGCCTGAGAGCTTCTCTAGCAATGCTCAGGGAGCACTGTGAATAAATGTCACCCTGTTCCAGTTGCTGCTTTTTCACAAAGTGTCTCTGTGATCTTCATGAGACATGAAACGCCTTTTGGCACTGTAACAGGAGATAAATATTGACATTTGGAAAAAAAAGAAGTTGTTCATTATGCAGTATATTTTACCTCAGGAGTTATTGTTTAGTTTAAAGACAGCCTGTCACCCAAGCAAAGGCAGGAGCAACACTGACAGTGCGTGGCCACAGTGGCAAAGGGCTATGCTGAGCAATCTGTGAGCAATGTCTGGGCTGAATCTCCCAAGTGCCAATGTCTACCACAAACACCCAGAGACAGCAGACATGTGAGGGGGAGCCAGAGCAGCTTTCCATTGATTTACAGCCCAAATGGGCAGAGTAATGGGGGCCCATGATGGAGCTGTCATTGATCACTTAGCCAGCAGAGCACTCCCTAGGAACCAGACCAGAAAAGCTATTTATTGAGTAGAAATAAATGGGACTTCAAATTGCGGTAACTGGGTAACAGGTAAAAATGTTTTGCTGCCACAGGAGGAGGCAGGAAAGTAAGAGAGGCTCGTAACCCCAGAGCTGTGACAAGTGGAATGGGACTGGTAAAAAGAAGTGAAGTACCTGAACCAAAGCTCAAATGAACACAGTACTCTGCAGTGGCTGGAGTACAGTGGACATTTTATGCTTGTTTTTGACAAGGAAATAAAGTTCAGTTTAGAGGTGGTGAGAAACACCTGAAGGAAATAAAAGGAACCACCCAGGGTTGCTGAGTGCTGAGGACAGGGAGGATTTGGCCATGAATCCTTGATGGCCATGCCTTGAAGTCTCCCTCAACAGGCAGGATAGGGCCGGGGCCATCATGAAGCATTAGATAAGCTCTACAAAGGAAATGAAAATTAGAAATTGCAAGAACATGGCCTGCTTCATCCTTGTTTGAATAGCAGAATTACTCCTGAACAGCCAAGAGTTTACTAGGGCACTTTAAAGTCATGTAAATCGGTCAGCTTGTTGCCAGAATCTGCTTATGCCCAAAACATGAGAAATTACTTCCTGATAACCAGCAGATGAGACACAGGCAGTAGCGAGACGTATCAGCAGCAGCCCAAGGCAGAAGACTGCAGAAAGTGCATTTTGCATTTGCAAGTGTTTTTCTGTGTGTTGCCCAGGTCCAAGCAGTGCCAAAGAAGCTACTCTCTCTAATGAAAATGGTGCTGCATGGTCCAAGGCTCTCCCAGACAGTGGTCTGCCTATGGGCTTATTCCCAGCTCCGGAAGTCATAGAGCAGATTCCGGAAAAAACAATCCCACAGCCAATGCTTTACTTCAGGGTAAATCAGTGATACAGCCCTGCATGCCCACCCCTAGCCTGGCTATCTGCTTGTCTGTGGCAGCAGAAGGATGAACCACCCTCTGATACTATTGGTTTTCAGAGTATTTCCAGCCCAGGGAGGAACTCTCCCGCAAGGCCTGAGGTTCCTCCACTGCTCACCAAAGGGAAGATGGTGCTCAGGTGGTGACACCCATTACTGCAAAAGGAGTTTTGCTGCTGTAAATTTCTACAAAGGGATTTGAGATGTATGCTAATGGGTAAAAAGCCTCATTAGTAGAGTTGATTACAGTTAGTGTTTGTTACAGAGAGAAGCTAATTTTTTCATTTTTAATTAAAGATGAGTTAGAAGTGTTAAATGTTTGAAATGTTACTTTTGCTCAAGCTAGCCAAAAACACTTACATTGCCAAAAGCATATTCTTACCTTTAATGATTAAATAAAATATGGCCCAAAGACCCAAGAGAACCTTTCTTGACAGCCAGCTGGAAGACAGTATGAAATCAGAAACAAATATTTTCACAGTTTTTTAATTTTTTTTCCCTGTAGAATACTTTGGAAAGATTTTCTTCTCATGAACACACCCAGTTGCCTCTGGTGTGTAGTTGTAATGGCTGTACCCCCTCTGGCAGAGGCCCCTGGGCAGCACGGCCTCTCCCCAAAGCCCCTGACGATGCCAGGCAAGGCTGGGGAGGTGGGAGGTATTCCTGCCTGGTCTTTTTCCAAGCAGTCAAAAGCAGGGGCATCCAACCTTACAAAAATCATCAGTCCGCTCCTTTTGCCCTGTCCCAGCTGCAAGTCCCCTGCATGCCCATATTCCCCACCTTCTGCCATGCCCAGTCTGGCACCGGACTTTGGTGAAAAGGTTAAAAAAAAAAGGTAAGCACCATTTCATGCCTGTCTCAGAAGGTAATGCTGCAGGGATCTGGTGCTTCCCTCCTAACATCGTCACCTGTCTGTCTATGTCCACCTGTCTCAGCTTTCCCTTTTCCTATTGTTTGTGTGCAGCCGGCCGCAGCGGCAGAGACGGGAAGCCCATGGCGAGGCGCACAAGCAAGGCAGGTAAGCAAAACCTTGGGTGGTTGCTGCTGGCCTAGCCCTGCCAGCCACATCCCCATGGCTGGGCTGAGGCTGTGGCAGGGGAAGGGGCCACCACTTGAACATGCCAGTTGTCTTTAGGTAGGAGTCATGGCATTAGTAGGATCCAGCAGGCCCCAGAGAAAGTCCTGTTGCCTGACACCCTTATGTAGGTGAGGTGTGATGCTACGACCATTTGCCATATCCCTTTGGGCTTCATGTGGCACTGATATGCAGTTTGTGTTGCCCATGCTGTGTGAGCAGGCACTTTCCCTCCAAGAATCTGTTCTGCAGAGTTGAGCCCACTCCACAGGCTCTCCACTTGTCCTTCCCACTGCCACTGCCAGGGAGAAAGCACCTTTCTGAGCACAGTCAAACCTGCTCACAAATGTTGGCTTCCTCAGTAGCCTGCTAACTTTGTTTCCCCATCTCAGACAGGCATAAACCTTTCCCCATGTAAACTCACAAGTCTTTCAGAGGCTGAATTAAATCTAAAGAAGGAGCAGGGTCCACATTTTAAAATGCCTGAGGGATGATTCATGACTAGAACTCACTGGTGAAGGTAGACAACTCACTTCTCCTAGAAATTATGGAACTGAGACCGAGAATCTTTCCAAGATGTTTCATAGATAAAGCTCTGGGTTTGAGAGAGGAGTTACTGATAACACTGCTGGCCTCTCTTAGGAGATTGTTGTATTGGCTTCTTGTGGTACAACTGCCCGTGAGTTACAGCATGGCTAAACAGTCTCATTTAAGAGAAGCTTTATCTCAGGAATATATTCCCCATCAAGTTTCTCTGATGACCTGCTTTCCTTTAATCTGTTCCTCACTTGTCTTGTGTATATTCAGACAAGTGTCTCTCTGAGTGTGCCATCTTTTCTAAAATCAAGAACCAGCAAAACCTTTCCTCCTGTTTTTGAGCCCTCCTGCCACCAGAGCAGCTGGTGTGCAGCTGGCTCTGAGGCCAGCAAAGGCTTCGCCTACACAAGGGAGCAACCAAGGAGCTGCTGCCACCATCATCCCAGCCAAAGCACTGGAGCTCTGAACAGCAGTTTGCACCTTGGATGTGGAGGGGGAACAGAGCATCCTCTCCAGCATTTGGTGCAACTCCAAAAGCTTCTGAAATGACCCTCCTAGGCTCTTAAATGCTCAGAAACCTCCCAGGTCTTTAATGCTCCTTTTTATCCTTGATAGAAATCTGGGGCAGGAGCTAATAATTTTATCCCAAGTTACAGGATGGCCTGCCTCCTGGCCTGGTTCCCAGATTGTCTCCATTTTGTTCCTGGGCAACAGCCAGTAGCTTATTTGATATATTGTTTCCCTAATTCCTAGCCTCACACTCCATCACATGTCAGCAATGCCTCTCCCCCATTTCTATTTCCCCACTTATCCATACATACTGTTCCTCCAGCCCACACTTTTGAATGACTGTCTGCAAAGTTTTGTAAGCAGAGATAATTTTACAGACAAAAAGTCACCAAACAAATGTTTTCTCAGTGCCAGAATTCACACAGGTGCCTAAGCTACATGCTGAGTGCAGGAATCACTGTTTAATGACGCTGCCAACCACTGCAAGCAGTCGCATGGTTGTGGTCTAAGGAGTAAATATTCTAAAAGTTCTAAGGGGTAATGGAATGAAACGAGTGCATACTTCTCGCAGGATCTGCTCAGAGCTCATAGCTGTGCTTCTCTCCTCCTGGTAGCCCAATCTTAAAACGAAGCCCTGACATCACCAAATCTCCCCTGACGAAGTCAGAGCAGCTGCTGCGAATAGATGACCATGACTTCAGCATGAGACCAGGTTTTGGAGGTATGAAGCATGCACATTTGTCACCGTTTCTGTTTTACACTGTCACTTCTTTGTACTGTAACATGTACTGAGGTTAAGAAGCAGATTGGCAAGCAGAGACTTTTCTGCCTCTAATTTCTGTTATTTTGGGTTGTGGATTCATGATATGCTAAGGGGGATAGGGTGCAGAGAAATAGCCTTCTGGATGAGTCAAAGCATAGTCAAAGGCATGGAAATATGATTACAATATAATATTCCTGGTATTCAGGACTGACACTTTCCTCTGATAAAAATCTGCAAATACACCTCATGTTTATCTCTGGATGATGCAGAAATGCATGATGTGTGTGCATAATCAAATGACGTACCACACCTATTGACTGGCCGTTTCATTTGTAACCCAAAAAAACCATTTTGACTGCCCCGTGTTAATGCTTGCTTACAGTTTTGTGGCTATGGTGAGACCAACCTAAGCTTTCAGGGAAATGGATGAAGGAGAACACGTTTTCTTTTCAGCCCGTCGGATTAGAGAATGTTGTAATTTATCTACCCTTTCTGGCTGACAGATGGTCATTCAAATCCAGGATACCATTATATACTCTGATGAAAGAAGATTTTATTGCTAAATGCTCAATATACCAAATGCCAGCATGTTCAATTAATTTAAAAACGTTTCAGTTTCACAGCAGTTTGCTAATGTGGGCATTATTTGTCTTGACAGCTCTCCTCTACTGTAATTGCCAGAGGTATAGGAGGGACTAGTCAAAGCTTTGAGGAGGGAAAAAAGATCAAAATCCCTGTTACGGGGGGTCACAGTTGGATCCTTCCCCTTGGGAACCCCAGGCTCAGTGGCACATGCCTGTGCCCTGCAATGCGTCCCCTTTTGTCACCCTATCTTTTCCACAGCTGGGCACTGAATCAAATACACAGAGTAGCTCTCACGGATGTATTAGCCTACAAGGGGGGGTAGAAGTGAGGGAAAAAATTGGAGTAACTGTCACACATTTCCTTAGTCGTGCTGCCGCTGCTTTCCCTCAGAATAGATGTGCCACCAGGCATCTGTCTCGCCAGTTCTGGACCCAAGCACTAGAGCTAAAAGCAATTAAAATGGCTCTTAAATTTTGAAGGGACACATGTAGGATGACACAATAAAAAGAAAAAGTCATTAATAGGTCAGTCTCATTACTGACTTTAATTGTTATTAGGGGCTTTTTTTATTAATTCCAATGGTTTTTAATTTCAATTCATTTACTGTTGTTTGTATTTCAGACCAAGCATCTATTTCTATCTCTAAGATACTAAAGCCAAGGGATTACTTTGTCTCACTAGATGTGTACTTTGTCAACTTTGAATTTTTTTCCCCTCAGGCCCTGCAATTCCTGTTGGGGTGGATGTCCAAGTTGAAAGCCTGGACAGTATTTCTGAGGTGGACATGGTAAGAGTCACAGATGGGACCTCTGGAGACCAAACCTGTGCTGAGAGTAGGGCCAGCTACAGTGGGCTACCTGGGTTTGTCTCCACGGGGTTTGAATACCTCCAAAGACAAACATTCCACAGCCTCCAGGAGGCAGATTCAGGCTTGATCTGAATCTTCTGACAATGACTTCTATTGACCTCATGCTACCATTTCATGTCCCTTGAAGCAGAAGGAAGAAATCTGACACTTTCTTTTCTCTAGGACAAAATGATACAACACTGCTAAGACTGTCTCAAAGGATTTGGGTTTTTATATTTTCTTAAAAAATGATAACACGGTTAAAAGCTCTGAAGAGATAAATTAGTGTGTTAGCTTTAAGGCATTTTTATGTACTGTAGATATAGTCTCACTTTGGCCATGTTCTGAGGTGGTCAGGGGCCAGAGAGCTCCAAGGACAAGTGGAAATAGCTTTAAACAGAAAAAGGGTAGGTTTTGAGCAGATATAAGGAAGAAATTTACTCAGAGGGTAGTGAGGCACTGGAACAGGTTGCCCAGAGAAGTTGTGGATGCCCCATCCCTGGAAGTGTTCAAGGCCAGGCTGGATGTGGCTTTGAGCAACCTGATCTAGTGGAACATGTCCCTGTCTATGGCTGGAGAGTTGGAACTAGGTGATCTTTAGGTCACTTCTCGAACCCAAACCATTCTATGATCCCCAGAGTCTCTCAGTAGCTCAGCTTTTGCTTTGACAGAGAAAAAAAATCACTCCCCAATACAGAATACTTTTAAAAATGTTTTGATCTTTCAACAGATGTACCAAATAGCTCTGAAGGTTCCTCGGAAAGCCCCAGATTCTCTGTGTTCCTAATTAACAGACAGAGAGTTAAAGAGCCTGCACCTGATCTCCCATGTCTAAGCCAGGAACATGTCCGTGTAGCAGCACAGTTGCTATCCATCAGCCACACTGGTTGCAGACCAGCTCCTCTCACTGCAACTGTTTCAGCTTTTGAGTGGGCTGGGATATCATCCCATCACTTGCTCTCAGCAAGATTACAACACATCAGGGGTGAGCATTCTCCCTAGTGCTGGGGACCCGTCCAGTTGACCCCCCAGTCTCTGGTGCTCTTGGCACCCCGACAGATAGCCACGGAAATTTTGAGCTTTCACCTCTCCTCGGATGGGTTCAGCCCACCTGGCTGAGGAGAAAGCTTGTGAAGGTGGCCAGAGAGTGCCTGAAAAGCTTAGGGACTTGAAATTAAAGGGAAAGAACTTAGTGCTGAAAATTTTGAGGTAAAAAAAACCCAAACCAAACAAAACCCAAACCACAAACCTTTTCTTTTTTTTTTTTTTTTTTTTTTTTTAAACAAACATTATTATTTTGTATTAGTTCTCATGGCTTTTGAATACTGCCCCTGCTCCTCCTCTAACATCATGTTGCAACGCTCAGCAAAACTGTATGGCCTTGGGTTAAAAAAATTCCATTCAGGATCAATTTTGGCTGTTTGCAAAATAATGATGGAGAAGACTTTATATTGTCAGAATCAATTCTTTTCTGCTCGTGCAGCTTTATAGAAAAAAAAAGCCATGGTACTTTGCAAGATCATTGCTTGCTTTTTAAATGAAGAGACATCAGGGACAGTTATCTATTCTGTACTAAGTTTAAGCTTGAGAAGTTAGTTACATCATTTTTTCTTTTTTTTCTGTTACTTTCTGACTATTTACAAAAAAGTGATAAAATAATAGAGGATATTATAAAACTTCATTAGGATGTCAGATTTTTTTCCTAACTAATTTAAAATTATATAAATATCTATTATTATAGATAATCTATATATTATTATAGGCTAATGATCTTGAAATTACAGAGCTTTTGCATGTTGTGTGGGGCAGCTGTATTATCTGAATGAAAGACAACAAGAAGGAAAAAACAGAGTGTCACTCAGCTTTGGAAATTCATTTACAAACATAACAGGAAGAGCTAATAATGTTGCTGAGAACTGGATCAAAAGAAGAAGGGAGATATATGGTTGTTGCTTGAGGGATTTTCAGATGATGTGTTATAAAATATTGTGGTTCCCACTTTAATAGCCTAAAACTAGTATTAATAAATCATTCCTAATGAAGGCTGACAATACCAGATTTTTCCACAGCAACCATAATTACAAATTTATGCAAAAAAGTGAGGCATTAGCTTCTCAGTAAAGAACAAGTATCTGTCAATTTATTGTTGTTTAAAGGACACATTAACACACAAGAGACAAGGTAAAAGGTTTCCCAGATCAAACATCTTTAAACTTCTTTCCCAGACCAAACATCTTTAAATTAAACAGGGAAAAGTTGTTGCCAAATGCTAGAGAGTGAATCCAATGAAAAAGAAGATAATACATGATCAGTGGCTTTGGGAGTTTCAGTTGGATATAATGTAAAGTGTTTCCAAGATTTATATTGGCCTCTAGTGTAATAATAATAGCATAGGCTGCAAGAAAAAATCACTTCTATTGAAAAAAAGACAGCAGAACTCCCCATAGTTCAAAATGTTTGGAAAGTGCTGTGAAAAAAAAAATCAAATGTCAAAATACTCCACCCCAAACCCATCTGACCTCCTCTACTCCAGACACTAGGGCAGACTGCTCAGACAGACACTTCCCCCACTTTATGGGCAACATATTACACTACACTCAAAAAGACCATATTTATAAACAACTCTGTGATCTTATCTTCAGATATGTGACAGCTTCCTTTGAAACAAGGGAAAAGGCAAACCCAAGTGTATGTATCTCTGGGGTCTGACTCCAAATACAATAGAGCTCAAAGACAAGGAGCATGCCTCAGATCTAAGAGTACAATACATGGGGAGAAAGAACAAAAAGAACCCAAAACATTTTGGTCAAATATCAAGTCAAAAAGACTTTAGAGTCAAGGTTGGAGGAAGAAGTCCCACTGCAGCACATTCTTCCAGCTGCCTGTGGTAAGGCAGTTGCTGGAGCAGCAGAGATGGCAGTGCAGGCAGCAAATGCTTCTTCCCTGTTCCAGGAACACAGCATCTCATGGTTGGGGAATTAGGCAGTCAGCAGCACTCCACACCCACTGCTGCCTTGACATGTCTTCATTTTTGCCCCTGGAGTGGCTCTCAGACACTAAAATGCAACATTTGCAATTCAGAGGTGGATTTGCCACCTGGATGGTCTCTGATTTCTGAACCCCATAAGTCTGTCTGACCTGAGGAATAAACAAGCTGCAGTCAGTCATGTCCCTTGCAGTTGAGGAGTGGATGTGCCTTCAAGAACAGTGGTTTCCAGTTCACTGTTTGTCCCAGAAAGAAGCAATCACTACTATGCTGATAAGGTATAAGTTTTGACACAAGCCTCTTTGTTGCAGGACTTCACCATGACGCTTTATCTGAGGCACTACTGGAAAGATGAGAGGCTGTCCTTCCCCAGCACCAACAACCAAAGCATGACCTTTGACGGCAGACTGGTGAAGAAGATCTGGGTTCCTGACATGTTTTTTGTTCACTCCAAGCGTTCCTTCATCCACGACACCACCACAGACAATGTCATGCTGCGGGTCCAGCCAGATGGGAAGGTACTTTATAGCCTCAGGTAAAGCTGCATTTGGTCAATGCAAGCCATTAGTGGAGTGAGAAAGTCATTTAATTGATTCCTATATTGTGTTTTTGCATGACTTCATACAAAAAAAAACATAAAAAAAAGAATGTGCTGACTACTCACAGACATCTGAGTCCCAGTCCGAGTTCATTTAAGTGCTGATTGCAGGAGGCCCTCTGTGCTGATTTCTGTGCCAATGTTGTTGATTCCACCATTGTACCTTTGCCTTGTATGCATGGTTAGCCCCTGTTCCTGTTGGGAAGCTGCAGTCAAATGTGGCAGTCTCTTAGGGCAGCTCAACAGGGACCAGGGGGTTGCAATGAAGAGGCAGGGCACAATCTAAGTAAAAGGGCAATGTCTGGTAACAAGGAGAAGCCCAGGGCAGCTATAGTTATCCACTTCATTATTTTACAAGCCTCTGTGACTAGCAAAACATGCAATTTCTATTCTTATATGAAATTAAGAAGAATATAAATTATACCGAGCACAGCTTTAGCTTTATGATATGCAAGAAAACAGAAGGAACATCCTCCAGCATATGAAGTGACAAGCTTCAGAGCAAGTGTATATAGTTCCTGGTAACTTGCATGTATGGCTAGAACAACCCAAAGACTTGACTTTGGATCTTCCTGCTTTTTTCTCACTTTTTATGTGAAATGCCTGAAAGCCCCTTGAAGGGGATATTTTTTGTAAACGTTTTGTCCTCTAGTTTGAGGAGTGATCCCAGGCCAGGCTTGCTCCCTTATTTTCCAGCTGGTTAATCAGCTGATGTAAATCTGAGCATTATTCAACCAGCATTTTTTTCTTTTTAATAAGTAACACTTTCATACTTGGAGATGCTATGTGAGGAGCATCTGTTTCATGATTTAACACCAGCTGGCACCTCAGCTCCATGTAGCTGCTGGCTCACTCCCTCCCGGTGAGATAGAGAAGGGAATTGAAATGGTAAAAGTGAAAAACTTTGTGGGTTGAGAGAAAGGCAGCTTAATAGGCAAGGCAAAAACCCCACACAAAGGGAAAGCGAAACAAGGAGTTCATTCACCACTTCCAATGGACAGGCAGGTGCTCAGCCATCCTTAGGGAAGCAGGGTTCCGTCACACATAACGGTGACTGGGGAAGACAAAGGCCGTCACCACACACTTCCACCCCTTCCTTCTTCTTTCCCCCACTTTATATACTGAGCATGACGCCATACGGTGTGGAATGTCCTTTTCGTCACTTGGGGTCAGCTGTCCTGGCTGTGTCCCCTCCCAACTCCCTGTGCACCCCACCCTCCTCACTAGTGGTGTGGGGTGAGAAGCAGAAAAAGCCCTGATGTCATGCAAGCCCCGCTCAGCTATAACAAAAACATCCCTGTATTATCAACAGTGTTTTCAACAAAAATCCAGAACATATCCCCACACTAGATACTGTGAAAAAAATTAACCAGACAAATCCAGCATGATATGTCTATCTCCCAAAAAACCTAAAATCTGTGCTTCTGTTTTTCTTGGCTGCAGCTCCATCCAGTTAGAAAACAAGTATTGCCAAACGACCCATAAAAACCTTTTAGAGAGGAAATTGCTGCACAATATTCTGATGCAAGAATGTTGACATCACCTCCACAACAATGAAATAACAAAATACCTGATAGATAAAGAAAGCATCAGATGATAGATAATATATTCTGAAGGACAAAAAGAAGGAAAATCTGACTGATAGAAGGTCAGTTTCACCAAGCTTCATAGATTTAACTAGTGATGAAGTTGCAGAATATACTGCTTGGGAAAGCTGTGGAGGTCTTTAGGGAATGACAGTAGTGGCAGAGGTAGAGCTGAGCCTGCCACAAAGTGAGGAGATCAACTTCTTAGCCTGCTGAGGTGTTTTATGATTCTAGGAAAGTAAGTCAAGCTAAGAAATTCTTGATTCCCTAGGGGGCATTAGTTTGACAAGAATTCTTTTTTCTCTGATATTTTTATCTTACTGTCCACTGGATTCACAGCCTGAACAGTGTCTACCTTCTCATTATCAAAGGTTTTTCTTCACTCAGCATATTAGACAAGGTTCAGGTGTTCCTTAGGCCTTTCCAAAGTTTGCTCAGGTCGTCAGTACAATAAAAAAAGGACAATAATATGATGTAACATTCAGTTATAGCATACATGCCTATATACTCTTTCATTTCGCAGCACGATATCAAGCATCTGTGTTGCAAGCATTTATGATTATCTAAAGAAGATGGGAACAGAAGAACACCAAACTACTCAGACCCTACCATGTACAGTCTTGTGCTTAAACAATTGCCCTGTACAAAATGGTCACGGATGTCTTCAATAGCAAATTGGCAGTGTCAGTATTTTATTCAGCAGCAACTGCAGGTTGCAGTGCCTTATGAATGATAGGGAAATACAAAGGCTGGTCTCTCCTTAAGAGCCAACAGGTCATTCATTACTGCCTGTCTGCCTTTGTTGAATGCCTTTGCCTGTAGATTGTATTTTTCCTTGGTGCCTGCCTTTTTAAGGTTCTTTGCCAGACTTTGTTTTCTCTTTTCTTGGATATCAGTGTAGACCTCACAGGCACCTAAACAACCAATCTGAGCCAAGCAATTTCACTCAAAGTCTAAATCCAGATAGGAAAGCAACATCAGACAGAACCCACACGTGCAGGACTACTAACATAAGGGATTACATTGTATTTTTATCATTATGTGACAGACATCTGTCTACCATTAGCCCTTCTGTAACTCATTAATTCTTTCCCCATTACGAATTATCCTTTTCTTTTCATTTACTTCCCTGGAGTTCAAGCCAGTCGAGTCAAGATTTATGGATGTTTCCAGTTAAAACACAAAATTATGCTATTAAAAATGAGATAATCAGACTATAGCGAGACCAGAGCTTTTGATTGATGAGGCAGAGCATTCGGTGGTCACTGTTGCATACCAGCCTTAACTCGAGGCACTGCCTATGCCCTCTGGTGGCTGATACCCATGTGTGAACACTGGGTTCTCACCGAGCAGCTGGAAATTCACGATGTGCGGAGAAAATTACTTGGATCCCTCATGGCACTAGGATGGCTTTGATAAATGGAAATTATTTTATTGTAAAAAGCATCTGTTGAAAGGACAGATGTCTGCAGAGACATTGTTGATTGTCAGGGGGAAAAGTGTCCTCTCCAAGATTATTCCATTTTCTTCTCCAATATTTTTGTCATCTAGTAGCAATTTGTAGTGGCCTAACTTTCTAGTCATGTTTTCTAACACTAGTTTGCTGAGAGGAAGAAATGGCTTTAACTAAAGTGAAATGCCTTTAGCTGAATGGAAGGGATTTATTTTCAGTTGTCTGGTACTGGCCGTAGTTGCTTAATAAAAGACCAAACTCACAGCTTTACTATTTTTCAGTCATATAAGAGGACAAGTTTTTAATGAAGTGATTTTTGTTATTCCTAGAGTTACAGTAACAGCAATGTGCAACATGGATTTTAGTCGCTTTCCCCTGGACACACAGACATGTTCCCTGGAGATTGAAAGCTGTAAGTAAAGTGGAGATGCTGAGGAACCAAGGGCACCCAATGGGCACCCAAACTGCATTTAATTATACCAATAATTAATTAGATCAATAATTGAACTGCTGCTACATTCGTGGGAGCTCTAACCAAAGCCAGCAGACTTCAACACTAAGAAAACTCCTTGGCCATATTTTTCACTAGAACTAGATGGTGTTTGCAGCAACACAGTGTTTTTAAAAACTGACTATAAGCACTATCTTGCCAGTGTCCCTGAGTGCCAGCCAAGCTGCCACCCCACCCCACCCCACGAGGACCTGGGCCACTTGCCTGCAGGCCAGCAGTTTCCAATAGCACCTGTTTATCCCGGTGCCCTCAAACACAGATATAAATGGCCCTACGCCCTTTGTGAGCACCGTCTGCTCATCTGTGGTACAGAAACCACAGCGGGGCAGAGACATTAATCACCTTCCTCTTACTTTTCTTACTCCTATTTGAGATAAACCCAGCTTATACCCTTTGTCCCAAGTATAATGCACATACGAATTGCCTGGATTTCATACAACAACATTTTAAACTTTTTACAAGTTATTTTCTTCTTCTTCTTAAGCTTGCAATAAGAAATTATAATCTTAATTTGGTTGTAATGCATTTACATGTGATTTTTTCTCCCTGTCTCTAAAGAGCTGCTACTAAACCCATCTGAAAGGATTAACATTCCTATTATTTCCGCATTAAAAAACAAGACCTGTAATGTTCATGTCTGCATCATAGACAGAAAGTTTGCCCAAGAGTTTTCCCTCCTGCATGCCTCAGACCATTGACAGATTGTTCGCCCCATTACCCCAAGCAGGCTCTTTCCTCTAAGTCTCCTTTTTTTTGTTTCTGGTTTTAGGAGATTTATAAGGGATAATTTTTCAAGTTCTGATGCGGTGCGTTACCTGACACACACATCATGTGTGTGAGAAACAGAAGGGTTTACAAAACGTACCAGGCATCAGGCCCGAGGGCTGTGACAATGAGCTAGTCCACTCCTTGCCACAACCATACTCACCACCCAGGTGGGTGGCATTTTGGGTATTTGATCCTTTCAGCCAGGAGCTCTCAGGTAGCTGGGAGGGCTGTGTGGGCACACCCTGGGATGTGGGGGTGATAGCAATTGTCTCAGTGCAAAATACTGAGGTTTACTCTGCTCTCCTAGATGCCTACACTGAAGACGACCTTATGCTCTACTGGAAGAATGGGAACGATTCCCTAAAAACAGATGAGAGGATATCACTGTCCCAGTTCCTCATTCAGGAGTTTCACACCACCACGAAGCTTGCCTTTTACAGCAGCACAGGTGGGTACTGGAGTGCTAGCCAGAGTACGCTGGGGGAAGAAGGGGTGCAAACTGTCTTTCTTGACCTTGGTCTTGGAGGATTGTCCACTGGGAGTTCTCTCTGTGGCCCATCAGACCTGTCACTCTTCTATGCCAAGGTGGCTGTCCCTGCCACAGACTTCCATCTTGAGAGTTGTGGTCTGGAAAGACAATCCTTCTTCAAGATTACACCAAGCCTTAACATTAATTAAACTCTCCAATTGCACAGGCTGTATTCTCTTGAATATATCGCCCTGAGAGATGTTTTGACTTTGATAGTTGGTTCAGTAAGGAGTCTTTTCTGTAAATTGCCATGATCTGCAGTCATTAACTGTGTTTTTCTAAAAGAAAACGAGACACTTTTCTCCTGATGCAACATCACCTTGTCTGAAAGTAGTTTGATATTTTCATTCTCTTTGTCATACAGGGTGGTACAATCGCCTTTATATAAACTTCACTTTACGTCGACACATCTTCTTCTTCTTGCTTCAAACCTACTTCCCTGCCACCCTCATGGTCATGTTGTCCTGGGTGTCCTTCTGGATCGATCGACGAGCAGTTCCTGCCAGAGTACCGCTAGGTAAAAACAATCTTGGAGTTAGCAGACCTAAGAGACAATTGCTGCAACCATAGCCTCCACCAAAATGAAATCCCCTGTGCTATGCACTGCCCTCATGTTGCCTTGTGGCACAGAAGTCAGCTATGTCACACATTTCTCCCAGGGACAGGGCATGTGTCCTCCCATGGGCAGGGAACTCCCCTTGGTGCAAACTCTCCATCTGCCCTGCAGTGCCAAGGGAATTTCCCTGTTCACACAAGCCCTAGAGGCACATGGTACAAATCAGGAAGCAAAGATCCCACTCTGCTCTTATTGCTCTAAACAGAGATAGGGCACATATAGAGCCAAGGTGTTCAGTATCCTTCAGAGACCTCAGTGAGCGAGAAGGTGAAAATCAGTATCAGCAGCCCTGACAAAATTTCAGTTTACTGAGTTTTGCTAGAGGAGGGAGGGTGGAGGTAACACAGCCAACTGAGCTGTGCCATTTAATGTGTTAAATGAGTTTGCACTGCAATGTGAGGGATTCAGCTTCCCCTTTTGCAGCATCTTTCAGACAGATGAAGCTGTATGTCAGAGGAGTCATCATGGAAGCAGAACTATGATATAGGCAGAAATCTTCTAAGTGGATGCTTTGCCCTTAGCAAAGTGCTGTTTGTGTTTTTGCAGATTCTCAGCTCAAGCTTGCTTCCTCTTATTCTAGGCAATACACCTCAGGATTTTATTTATTCTTAAAATCATATTCTTCAATGGAGAGGATAAATAGAGGCATAACAGATATGGAAATGGGGCAATTGTCCACATCTGAATTTAGAAACAGCACCCATTGCCTTAAGAAAATAAAAGGAGTTCAAGGGTTTCAGCCATGGCCTTTCAGAAGATACAGGCACTGCCTTAGCAGCTCTGTAGCACCTAGATACTCCTGTAGAATCAGTCATTTGTGCTTGTATACATAATTTCAACTTCCAAAGTGATCACTAATGTGACATAATTAGTCCCTGAAATAAGAGGGCCACAGAAAGCCTCTCTGAGAGCCAGGATAACCCTGAACTACAGGGCTCCTGTCCTTGCTGATGGGCCCATTGTGCTCATCTATGGGGTAACGTGGGGCAGCATTGCCATGTGGAGCTCCATTATTCTTTACTTTTGCTCCAGTGAGGGCACAGACCAAGTGTAAGAGTCGGTTGATGACTTCTGCGACTTCCCGTGAAGCAGGACTTCCCAGGAGAAGTTCAGCATATAGAAAACACAGGGGAAACTGGTGGAAGCAGCAGCTTTGCTTGTGTCCACACTCTGGAAGAGTTGAACCAGGAGCTGAGATACTCAGACTTGTAAGTCGTAGAATAATTCGAGTTGGAAGGGACCCATAAGGATCATTGAGTTCAAATCCATGTACTTGTACCCCTCCAGGGACTGTCCTGAGTCTGGAGTGGAGTGAAGCCAGCATGGGGTCAAAGTGCTGCTGCCTGGACATGGGGTGGGAGGCTGGTGGTGTGGTGAGCAACCAGGCTAGCATAACTGTGCTCACCAAAAAGACAAGAAAACCCCTGTCAGAGATTAGAGCTGCCTGGACTGTCCTCAGGCAGTGAAATCTATCGCCCAAATGAGAAAAACAATTCTGCAAAGTAAATTCAGATGTCAGGAAATTGTAACAACAGCTGTATTTGTGATTAAGAGTCTGGTTTGAAAATGGTCTCTCTGCTGGTGTATTCCCAGGGATAACCACTGTGCTGACCATGTCCACGATCATCACTGGGGTGAATGCCTCCATGCCTCGTGTTTCCTACATCAAAGCCGTGGACATTTACCTGTGGGTCAGTTTTGTGTTTGTCTTCCTCTCGGTGTTGGAATATGCAGCTGTGAATTACCTGACAACAGTGCAAGAGAGGAAGGAGAGGAAACTGCGGGACAAGGTGAGGTTTTCTATCTCCAAACAGCTTCATACCCCTGGGAAAAGGTGTGGCAGAAGTCTGGAAGTATTCAAAACTTTGCAACTACGGTGTGCTGCTCTCAGCTGTCGGGGGGAGAATGCAGTAAAAACATCAGCACCAAGTCATTCCAGGTTATAAAGATTTGCCACAAACAACCCACATCCAAGTTCTCTGTTCTTTCTTTGGAGTCTATGGACACAAACTCCCTCTACATATAGTCCTCCACTGCCTGTATAGATGAGATAGGTTTGGGGATTTTACCTTTAGATACTTTTTTTATACTGAAGATCCAAACGTGAATAGAATTAGTTGGACACTGTGTTTTGGGTTTCAGTCAACATGGCAGATATGCCCCACCTTTCTCCATGCCCAGTCTAAACTTACACAATGGTCACAATTTCCCCCTTTTGCCCACATTACATTAAATTTTAACGATCTAAAATTTAAGCCTAAAATCTTCTCTTCAAATGGGACAAGCCTCATACATTCCTTCTTGTGGTTTCCCTCTGTCCTCTTCTCTGATTTTCTCAGCTTCAAGGTACAGGTCCAACCTTTATTTACACCCTGAAAACCTCTGCATAAGCCAAATGAGCTTTTCCACAGACAACCCTACTCGCTCCCTGACTGTGCCTGTGTCTTGCAGACATGAAAATAGGGACAGAGAAAGCTGCTGTTCAGCTCCACCCTCTTGTTCTCCCTTTTGAGTTCCAGCTGCCTGAATTTTCCCAGCCTTTCCTCTCCTCTGCTTTTGTAAGGAGGAAAGTGATGTGTGTATATCTGGACACAACTCAAACCCACCCTGCACCTGTTTGTGCCCACAGCCTGCCTGTGCATGCAGCCTACCTCAGCCTCGGGCCATGATGATGGACGGCAGCTACAACGATGGGGACGTGAATGAGCTGGGGCACTACATGTCTGAGAACGGAGACAAACAGGACCGAATGATGGTGCAGCTGGCGCTGGGGTCTGAGAGGGGCTCGGGCAGGAGGAAAAACCAGAGATACGTCAGCATGCGGATCGACACCCATGCCATCGACAAGTACTCCAGGATAATATTCCCTGGTGCATACATTCTATTTAATTTGATATACTGGTCCATTTTTTCATAGGTATTCATAACTTCTGTAGTCACAGAGCATTGTGACATTAAATGAAAGTACAGTCTTATAGGCTAACAGAAAGAAAATAGAGAATTGTTTTAATTGGAAGGAAGATTGACTTTTTTCAAGATTTAATTTTTTTATTAGAGGCAACTCATTTGTGGCATAAATAATTGTGCAAGTTTCACATGTCAGCAAAATATAGGATATACAATCTAAAATTTTATACTTATTTGAAGTTGTGCTATGTTCCTTCTTGTGCCTCGCAGGCCACTGTAAACTATTTTAACAAGTGACTATAATTGCCAGTTGCTTATATATGGTGCATCCTCCATTTTGTGCTCCTGAAATCCTAATTCTCTGAGTATCTGAGCACATGCATACATCTCTCAACTCAGTAGACTTATCATGTTCAATACCAATAAATACAAGAAATGCAAATACTTGCATGTTTGCAGGATGAGGTCAGAAATGGTAATTACAAACACAAAATATCCACAGCTTAATGCATGCCGCATTAGCAGTACTGTACTGACAAGTCCAAGTAGGAATACTTTCAGATCTGTGCTTTGTCTTGATTGTATTTAAAACGAGGAAATATTTCCAGACTGTTTTGACTAACTTTTTAAAATATGACTTGCAATGCACATTTAATAAGGAATGAACAAAAGCCAGACTTCTGCAATGCTAACCAAATCCTTTGGGAAACACAGGAGCTGTCCTTGGATGTGCTTATTTGGGTCACTGGAAGTTTTGCTCTTGAGTTTCCTGGGAGAGGAAACAGATTTCTCTACAAAGTAATCCAGTGAAGACAATCATGTGTCTACAAAAAACCTTCCAAACTACTCCAGGAAAAGCCTCTCTCCTCTGAGGTAATCTGAGCATTACCAGTCTGTACAGCCTGAGAACCTGCTGCAGCCTGTAAAGCTACCAGTAATTGTACTCGCTTGTGGGAAAAGCCAAGTTCATCTGTTCTTAATAAAAGCATAATAGAAAGGTGCTCAACAGCTGACAAAGCCGTTGTAAGGACTTTATATTTGAGTTACTAGAGATACTATGTCAAAAACTCTGGAATTAAGTAAGAAAGAGCTTCCACGGTAAGACAGCAGCTCAACTGCAGATGCAGTTTGCACACAATTGCAAATTATTCCCTGCACAACAGATGCTGTTGCCTTTTACAGGTGAAGCTGCTCTGAGCATCAGACCAAAGCAATTGTGACTTCAAAAGGAGAGTGAATCTTCCTACATGACATTTGCCCTGGCCTGCCTGTTCTGCCACTGCCATCAGGCACGTGACACAGACATTGCAGTTGTTTCAACACTGCTGGTTGTTGTCATTTCTGATGTAAATAAATGTCATTCAAACATACTCAGCATTTCTTACAACTGCTAAAATCATGACGTGAAAAAGTACCTACACTCATCTTGCACTTATAGCCCACACTCCACAGGTAAGGCAGTAAAATCACAAAAGCTAAAAATCATTAGAAGACACCCACTCATAAGATTTTACTACTCATTTCTACAGAATTGCTTTTTTCACATACATAAACTTTCATAGCTTCATTTTATCAAGTTCCCTTCATATCATATTATTCTCCTGTTAGTTTTTTCAATATATTAAAAACATACCTTTTTTTTTAAACCATAAACATTTCAATCAAATGAAAGTGGAAAGGTCACTGGCAAAAGCAGATCAAAGGTTGGCCACCAGCTTTGCCCACCCTACCTTTTCCTTATTCTAACGGCACCCTCCATGACCAGTAACTCCAAGATTTCTTGGGCACTACTTGCACAGGAATGTATTTAGATTCTCAGTATTTTAAGAACCCATTTATTTCTACAATTTAAGAATAGCACGAACAGGAGTGCCAGATTCTATAGTAAGCTCTTCAGCTTCATAAGAAGCTTAATGTTATGTTAATGTTTGCTGCAGTACTGTACATTCCTTTATAGACTCATTAATCTCATACTACATACATTATTTGGCATCTGATCAGTATATTAAGGGAGATTTTGAAGATACAAATGGGAGCTGGACTTATGAATTCCCTGGCTTTCAGTGGGAACCTGGTTTCTAACTTACCATGAGAATTTTTCAAAGTTTCCCTTGCAGTACAACTCCCTAACCAGATTCCCCAACCTCAGTATTTGGATTTATACTGTTAATTTACTCGTGTTTTACTTGGGAAACTCTAGTGCCTTTTCTTATATAAATGTGTAAATAGATGTATTCTATAAGTACATGATATGTCATATACAGTGTTTGCTATCAACAACTGTATTCATTAAACATATTTACAAACACATTTTTTTGGTTTTTAACCTTTCAGTGTATGTTTTTTGTATCCAATCATTAACACTCTGCTCCTTTCCATTTCCAAAATGAATCAGAGAGATTTGTTTGCTTTTATTTATTTCTAGAAACACT